TGGTCCTGCTGCCGCGCAGTTCGCACCTGTGTCGAGCCTGTCTGCTGTGAGAGAGTTGTTTTGTTTAAATTCATGGGAATTCGGCGTACTTGCGGCCATGCTATCACGCCTTGCGACAACCTGTCGGCGCTGCTGACCGTGCCATGATGCAGAATTGATCACCTGCATAGCTCGCGGCCTTAGTACCAAGCATTCAGTGACGACCTGATCCTAGGGTCAGTAGGAAGGTGTCCTTCCATCGTGTGCAGCCACGCTTCTGGCGCAATGCGCGTCGCCTCGGATTGGCTGCTGGCACTCTCGAGGCTGTGCCTACACAGCCTCGCGCGCATGGGCAGTCAAGAGGGACCACGCTCCTTCTCAGGACAGCGCCGGTGCCTCTCTCTTGGACCGGCAAAGGTGGTGGTCTCGTGTCACCAATGTGGGACCAGTGCGGCATCGCCATCGCGCCATCGACAGCTCTGGACTGCGCCTCACCACTGACCGGGAAGGCCGCCAAGTGGGCCAGCACCGGTCGCATATTGTGGCAGCAGTCAGCAGTGCATGGCTGATAGCTAGAGCAGCAGCGTCAGGGTCGCAGGGTCGGATCGTGTCAAGCCTCTCGCCCGGCCGGCCGCGTGCAGACGTCGGCCTGTCTGCTGTCTGGAGTGATCTGTGGGCGGTCAGTACGACCGGTCAGGTTGGAGTTTTCTGATGGTTAGAGGGTCTATCTGTATGTGCTCCTCGAGATCTCTCCAAATCTGCCCTCTCTTAGACCAGGTTAGATCGGGAAGTCGGTGCTAGTGGAGACTAGTGGAGCCGGGGCCCCGTTTCCGCACTGCGGCGCGGCGCACGGTGCCTCCGAGGGCCCCCGCGCCACCCCAGAGAGCGAGAGTGGCCTGAGCGCGAGGCGTGAGGCGAGATGAGGCGAGGCCTAGGCGAGATGAAGCGGGATGCAGCGAGAATGCAGCGAGATGCCTCTTTTGCAGTAAGATGTCTTATGTTGTGTGGCTGCTTGTGCTGCCTGCTCATGGGCTGGCAGCACAAAGCAGCCACACAAGTCAGCTTTTGGGTTGTGTGGCTGCTTGTGCTGCCTGCTGAGGCCTGAGCGCTTGTTTGTGCTGCCTGCTCATGAGCAGGCAGCACAAGCAGCCACACAAGTCAGCTTTGGGATGCTTGGTTGCTCACGGCGACGCCCAATGCGTGCGCCGGTAGGGGGGACGTCCCCTATGCGAGTATTGCTCCTGCCAGTGCACCAGACTTACACATACAGATGTGTCTTCAGAGGCGGGTTTGTGCCCAATAACGGCAGTATTGGACAATTGGAGAAAACGGCGCGAGTCAATCGCTCAATAGGTCTCACCCCACACGAAACCAGCCGGTGCGGTGGCCTGGCGAGCCGCCTCCGCCGCCGCCGCATCCTCCGCCGCCTTAGCCGCTGCCGCCGCCTCCGCTTCCGCCTTTGCCGCTGCCGCCTCCGCCGCTGCCTTCGCCGCCGCCTCCGCTGCCGCCTTTGCCGCTGCCGCCTCCGCCGCCGCCTTCGCTTTCGCCTCCTCCGCCGCCTTCTTTGCCGCCGCCGCTTCCTCTACCGCCTTCACTGCCGCCGCCTCCTCTGCCGCCTTCGCCGCTGCCGCCTCCGCCTCCGCCTTTGCCTCCCCCGCCTGCACCTCGTCGACGTCATACACGGGTGGCTCAACTGTTGGCTGGTCGGCCATGAACGTGACGCTCCGCATGGGCGCAAGGCGCATGGACGCAGAGTGCATGGGCGCAGTGCGCATGAGTGCAGGGTGGAGCACGAGGCTGAGAGAGAGGAGCGGCGCGGCGAGGAGCATTGTTGAGGCGAGATTCCGACGCTTTCGGGGGGGTTCCCTAATTGCATTTGATGTGGCCGACGGGGCTGGTAAATGTTGTGTGGGTGGTGTGTACTTGTTACGTGAAACCCCGCTGGGACCCGGACGCCAGCACACACGGCTAGATTTCATGGCGGGCCGCCTAGGCCCTGGGGTCGGAGGCAGAGTCGGTGGGGGTGCCGCGCGCGGCGCGGGCTTCGCTGTCGGGGGCGTTTAGGGCGGGGTCGGGGAAGGAGGGTGGGGTCGGTCGCATTGGCGGCCGCGCGGCAGCGTTGGCTGCGGGGGGGGCGGGAGGAGGTGGTGGCGCCGACCGCAATGGCGGCCGAGGACCCGACGTCGAGCGCCGGGCGAGATCGCGAGGGTCGAGGGTGAGCTCGAAGCCGAGGGCGGCGGCCGAGTTCTGGATGGTGAGGGCGTCGGCGGTGACGATGGCGGCGGAGATGGCGGCGGAGTGGAAGGTGTAGTGTGAGCGGGTGGACGCGCGAGAGGTGCCATACGGCGTGTGGTCAATGGACCCACTAGCGCGTGCGGTCCTCGCAAGCTGGCGGAGGACGCGATCGAGGTCGGCGGAGAATGCTCCGGTCGACTCGGTCACGAGGAGGATGACCGTGTGGCCCTTGGCGAGGGCGTCAGCGTAATCGCCGTCCTTCGCTGCCACCCATCCGTCGCCGCTGACGCGGTCCAACTGCTCCTCCGTGTCCGGGTCACCCCGTTGGGGGTGGCCGAGAAGGACGACAGAGAGGTGCTCCTCAGTGTTGCCAAGCGCGATGAAGTGCCCGTCGGCACGGGAGGCGGCGCCTCCGCAGCGAGCAGAGCCGTTGCCCTTTGCGCCGGAGGGGAGGAACGGAGTGTAGCACTTGAACTCCCAGCACGTGGTCGTGGAGCCAAAGCGGATCAAGTCTGGGATGTGTCCCTTGTTGACGTGGGCGTAGTAGCCCCTCCGCTCAGCCTTGGAGGCGGGGGTCCCGTCTCCCTTGTCGGCCAGCTGGATCGAGCCAACTGGCAGGGCGTCGCTCGTGACGCTGGTGAGCGCACGGTGGACGGCTGCAAGTGCGGCGTTGTGGCGGTGGGTGGCGTTGGCGGAATTGAGGCAATGGTCGCCGAGGCGTTGGTGTTGGGTGATGGTAACGCCGCGCTCCTCGAGCGCGTTGTACACGTCATCGAGGGCGGTAAGGTAGAGGCCGAGGCGGTGCTGGCACGCCGAGAGGAAGGTATCGGAGGGGATGATGGAGCGAGGCACTGTGGCGTCGGGCAGGCGGAGCAGCCAAGCTCCCGAGCCCACCTGCGAGTGGCTGATGAGGGAGGTGGCCTCCCGGTGCGGCACGGTGGCGCCGGCGTTTTGTGAATCGAAGGAGTCGCACGCGTCCTTGGCGTCCAGCCACGCGTGTGTGTGTGAAAAACCGCCAATGGCAGTTATCCGTTGTGCGGACGTCGCCGCGGCTCGCCTCTGCCGCGGCGGCTGCTGCGCGCACGCGGCGGCGCCGCTCTCTCGCGAGACGGCTGGCGACGCGGCTCGCCGCCGACGTACGCTGCGCTCGTCCGACGGTCCGCAGCGTGGCGTGCGCGGCGCTGCGCGCCGCTCTGCGAGCGCTTCTGCGCCTGCACTGCCTCTCTCTGTTGCTGCTGCTGGTGGTGATGGTGCTGCTGCTGGTGCAGATGCTGCTGCTGGAGCGGCGCGGCTCTGCGACTGGGCTCGACGCGCGCGTCGCGAGCATGTGACGCGGCGGGCGGCGTCGGGCAGGTGCGCTTCTCTCTCTGGTGGTGGTGGTGCTGCTGCTGCTGCTGCTGGTGGTGCAGATGCTGCTGCACTGGTCAAACTATTAGCCTCATAATGAGGAAAAGGCTAATAGCGATTTCAAATAGTGCTACTATTAGCTCAGAGGGGCTAATAGTGCAATTATTAGGTGTG